CTGACGACTGTAAATCACGGCACCGGAACCCCTCGAATGTGTATACGCCAAATGTACACGCCACGGTAATTTACTATCTCAGCTCGTGGACGAATCCGATTCTCGGAATCACCGTTTCCCGGTCAGCGCGGTGTCACGACCGCGGCTGGGGCTTCGGCTGCGGTTTCGGAAGATCGTCGTGTATAAGCCGCCCCTCCCCTCCCTCCCGACCTTAACCCGAGGCACGCGTTGCATTAATGCGCGCGCGAAGGGAACGGGTAGAATGCATATACGCCTACCCATTGTGGCCATCCGAGGATGAATAGCATGTGTGCGTAGCTGCCCGCACGTACCTATTCTGGTCGGCGGGAAGAACGCCTCCGTATAATTCACGGTTTCTTAACGCGCTGATTAACGATTCTAGCACGCCGGTGCAACCCGGTTGCAGTTGCTTTCTTCCTTCTGCAACGAAATAAACGAGCCACTCCTCCCTCCCCGAGACGCGCCCATCTATCTAAATCAGACGAAATGTTTCATGTAAAACTTCTTTGGGCCTTTTGTTTGTGCGTTTGTAACATTAAACGAACGGAACGACGGAAAATCATTATATATTCGAAGGTGAATTGAATTGTAAATTTTCAACATATTCCTTTTACATTGGGCATCGTCCTCTTCTATGTGATAATGCTTGCACAATGCAAAGATATAGGAAATTGTTGCAACGCCCTAACGTCGCTACTGTTCGATCATTGGCTAAAAGTTTGATTCGATGAAAGTTTTTCCGCATACATGTACGAGCAAAATTGGCAATCTATTGGCTTTCTAAAAGTTTTTCCTTCAATAGGAAAATCTGTCAATATACCGATTTACTTTGCCTTCGATCGCGGTGACGCTTTCATAAAAATTTATAATACAATTTTCTGTTAAAGATTATATTTTTCATATTTATTTTCATATTTGCAGTCGTTAGTTTATAGTTTTGCGTGACTCCGGTATCTTATCCAAAGTTTATTCATTTTTTTCTACATGTGCACGTAGACTTTTTTTATTTCTCGACATCGGTCGTAATGCTCTCGGTCGTGATGTTATTATGGATTCTAAAAAAATTTATAGCTACACGGTATAAAAACCGTCTTATCTGCGCGCCATAATCGACATGGATCCTGTATCGGCGTTTATTATGTCGAGACGTTTATTTAATCCGAACTAACTTTAATAGCAGTTAACCTCCGATACGGTACCAAAGTTTCGTTATATTCGACGGGGAAAGTAGCTTCGCAGCATTATCGTGTTTTCCTTTTTAATCGTCGGAGTTTCGGGCGTTTCCCTCGCGGATCATTTCACTTATAAACTTCGTATAGGAACAAGGAATAGAATTCGCGATTGCAAATTGTACGTATCCAATTAATCGAATTACATTTTTTTCCTGGCGAAGAACTAAACTAGTTTACGCAAGCTGTATAACGCATATGTATTTATATTTAGAGATACAATTTTTTTTTCCTGGTTACACGATTTTTATTAGCGGTCATCTGCGTTAGTAGCTCTCGTGGCTGATGACCCCATTTTTCTTTCTTCTGCATCACTCTCACGTTCGCTTTGACGTGGAAAGGGTTCGATTATAGCATTAAGGTAGTAACTTAACGCCCCGGATGGCGGAAAACGCGAGAGTTATGGCTCGTTAAGTATTGCGGTACGTACTACATCGGGGAATACACGAACGCGAAGTTAAGTAATAGGATACCGCGAGCGCTCGATGGAAAACTAGCTTCATGAAACAATGCGACGTATTTTTTACCGCGGAGATGTCCCGGCCAACTTGGAAACTGTGTTACCACGTTCTAACATTATTATTACGGCAGAATTTACCTTGGCACGATATTAAGTAAGTAAATAAGTATAAATTCGCCGCCATTTGGAAAATCAATACACCCCGCCCATCGTAGCATTATTAATTAAAAAGTAAATGTTTGAAATCTGCCGCTGTAAAGTTAAACATACCGCGTTGGAGTCAACCGTCGGCATTTACCCCGCAAACTTAATGATAAGGTACAAATCACGCTAATTGAATGCTCAATCGGTGTTATTCCGCTGCCAGCTATTACACAGCACTAATAGCGACAACCGCTAGCACATTTCACCCACAAACGTGTGTACATAATAATTTGCATTAGCTCTTTATAATTCTCTATCAAGCGCATCATATCGAATTTATAAATGATATTTCGAATATTTGTAAAATTATACGAAAGTACAATTTTCATTTATTATTAAAAATGCTCGTAGTTAACTTTACAGTAATATGAAATACGTATTACTACGTTTAAATATTATTTCTTTAAATGTTAAAATATAACATATATTATTTATTTTATTGGACTATTTTACAATACCTTAGATTACAAACAGTTAAAAAATGTGTGTAGTCACAAATTCGTATTTTATCTCTCTCTCTCTCTATCTATCTATCTATCTATGTCATACACATTCTCTTACGATTCCCAAGCCACGAGCATCAAGAATCTCGATGCAATTCGGCGGAAGTTGGCACAGCACGGATATAAAACAAACCGGCGACAGTCGGTCGTTTGACGAAACGAAACTTTATTCTTCGAGAATCGCCCGTCCTCTCGTCTTCATTACACCTCGCTTCCGTAAGTCGCGAAATGCGAATTCCGAATCGTGCGCGCCGTAGAAAACACGACAGCTATCGCGCGGAAACGGAAACTCGAAAAATCTCGGCGCACCGGCGAGGACGACGGCGTTGTCACGCTGCCGAGGACTTGTGCGGCCCGCTGAATTTCTCGTTTGTGCAATTCAGCTGCGTAATCTAATGAGCAAACGCCGCGAACTTGGCGCACGGACCGGAAATTGAAGTATACATTATGAAACGTGCCGCTGGCGCGGTGTTTCCTATGCAACCCTCGTGCCACGGAGTGCTGCCGTCGCCGCGCGCCGTCGTCGTCGCCACCGTCGTCGTCGTCGCCGCCGCCGTCGTCGCGATCGCGAAACCAGGTCGCGCATGTCGCGCGCGCGGCCTTACCCCCGAATTCGCAGGCTTCGCACTCAAGGAATTGCAGTTTTCTGATTCGCGGCCGTTCCGCGGCCTGTAGCGATGAATATTTAGCGGCCGGTACGTGACTCCGTTGAACATTCGAGTTGAGCCGAAGGGGTCGTTTTCAGAAGGAATCTCTCTCAGGCGAACGTAACTCGCGACACCGAGAAAAATATAATTTATCGAGTTTGCGAGATATTCCCAGATATCTTTCTCCGCATTGCTCGCAATGCATTTCTCTCATAGTAATTTTTCGCATAAATCCCGCGCGTCCTTTGTACAGAGGTAATAGCAGCGACGTTGAATTAAAAAAAATCCCCTCACGCGGGTTTATCATATGGGGCGCGATATAAATGAAATATAGAGTTACGCTCTCGTATATACACATACCATGATAATTTTAATTTAAATTACTCGATTCAGTATAATATTCGCAGTGCATTTTGAGTGTAGCAGTGATATTGTTATTATTTTTGTTCGTTTATAATTAGTCCGGATGCGCATTGCATTCACGAGAACTCCTTTGCATATAATTACTTATTTCGCAAAATTATCACGTCGTCGCTTATCGTCAGAGAATAATTTCTCGTTACGAATCGTATACATATAAGATGCGAGTCTTCGCGATAAACTTTGATTATCAAAGTTGAATGTAGCTTTTAGCTTAAACTAACGGCCGCTCCCTGCCGAGATCTCCGAGATGACAAACCGTCGTCGTAGATCGACGATCCAAAAGAGTTTCGTTTGTTTATGAGCACTCTGATTAATATGACATTCATGGTTGACTGTCTCTCTTTGTTTCTCTCTCCACATAATTCTCTCTCTCTCTCTCTCTCTCACCCTCTCTCTCTTTCTGATCTCTTTCGCTTAACTTAGCCGGTCAAACTCCGTCAGCGGATAGAATTTACGATAATTAATCTTTTATACAACGGGGATTAATTAACTCGTGCAAATTTATTCGTAGCCAAAGGTTCCGTGAACCATCGGCCTCTATTACGGTGGATACTTGAGAATAGATGATGCACAGTTCGGAACCATGTTCCACGTAGTGCACTATCATCGCCCGAAATTTTATCGAAATTATGTGTAATATCAAGCGTGCGATAAACCACAAAATTACGTTGTGGTAAAAACTCTGTAATAAAAACAATTTCGAAAATCGGAAAATATAAAGAAAGAGAATTTTCTATAAACAAGCCAATTATTGTTTATTTTATTCTGTTTAACTTATTTTACTGTTTGAAAAATATTTCTATTTTTTTCATATATATTTCATATTTGCATGTCGCGTTACATGCAATATAACGATTAAATTAAAGTTTCGACCGCAAAGCAGATTCCTGAACCGATTAAAAATTTTAGCATAAATTATTTTTATTCACTACAATATAGTTGTTTTATGCACGTTACAGTTCGATCGCGGTAATAATATAAACGTCAAAACGAATGTCAAACGCCTATATCGATTTTATAATTATATTACTTGAATAAAGAGACGAAAATTGAAAATTACGTGAACATTTATTTCGCATAATGGGGATTGGTCGGAAGAACCATCGCGTTTATTAAACGAGAAAATTGTACTCGTAATTAAATCTGAATTAATAGCGCCTCAGATTATCCATTTTATATGATTGTATGTATTGCAACAATTTTCATATTTATCGTCTAAATATAGGCACTCATGGTGTCCGTTATGTGGGGTTCTCTCTCTCTCTCTCTCTCTTTCTCCGTTTCCCATATACTAATTAAACAATAAAAATCTTAATTCAAATGATTCTGTTGATACTCTTGGACATATTCATTCCGTCAGAAATGTTCTCATATATTTGCGCGGAATTAAAAAAAAAAGTATTCGAGTTATTAGGGAAAACGAATTATAACATTATGCTATGTTCAAAGAATATTCGAAACGTTATTTTACACCTTTTAATTCATAATTTTTCCATTTCTGTGTTTTGCGCAGGAGTGGACGGACTATAACCTCCAGTGGAACGAGTCCGAGTACGGCGGAGTGAAGGACCTTCGAATTACGCCGAACAAGCTTTGGAAACCGGATATCCTCATGTACAACAGGTAATCTGGCCTCGTTACATCTGCGTAGAGACTCTCATTTTGTATTGACAAGTCAAGTAGCTTCGACTAACAAATTTGTTAGGAGCATTTCAGTCTCAGGCGCGAGAGAGTGGAGAGGCCGGTCAGAGTCCCTCCCGTAATAGAATTCTTAATTAAAACGGTCGGAACAAAAAGCCGCGTACTAACTACGCTCGTAATCATCTGCGTTAATAAAGTGTGCCCAGTAAAAATACGCGCGCAAACTGATTTCCCAAAGTTCCGCGCGCTAAAACCCGGAAAAGATTTTACTGTTTGACACGATCCAATTTGCGAAGAATATTCAAATCGAAGTAAACTTTAAATTGATAATAACAGCGTGAAAAAAAGAGAGAAAACATAAAGTTTAATTTCTCTCGCGTTAATATTCGTACAGTAACGATTCAAACCAGAACTATCGAGACGCGGAAATGAAAATGTTCAACGGGTTTATGTTATATCAAATTCTCACTCGTCCGCGCAAATACTATGTAATTCATCGTGATTTAGCTGCAATTGCCACGCATCGATGAGGATAACCCACGGGACTTCTGATAGCTCGGTCGCGCGCGATTCTAGGCTGTCAATATTTCAAGAGTTGCCGTTTAACGTCGCGGAAGCGTTGGGTAGCCCAACAGCAAACAGCTCTACATCGCGAATCGACATGACAATCGCGAAAAAATGCGGAAAATACATTCGCGAAACAAACTGATGCGACTTTATCGTAAAATATAAAACTGCACGAATTACATTTGTCCCGAGTAAGCAGCCCAACGTTGAATTTCTCCGATGGACTTTAAACGGCTGCCACTCGTCCGGAAGGCACACTCCCTCCCCACACTGCACTTCTAAGAGAGAGAATTAAGATTTTTAAGAATGTCTTTTTCAGAAAAGCTGCGAGAACGGCTAAGAAATAGCGCGGCGGTAGCGCCACTGCAGCAAAAGTTTTTTCATTAACTTTAAGTTCGCTCCCTCGGAGACACTCCGTACGGAGCGTAAATTATTTTCGATGTACCTCGTACTCTTTTCACGTGCCGTTACAGTATTGCGAATGTAGTTTTTTTTTATAAAAAAAAAAGAAAAATCGAAGGGTACGTAACTTTTATCCTAGTGTTGCTTCGCATCTCTCTAATTATTCAAAAGTATTATATATATACATATTATATATATACATATATATATTTCTTTTATACATATATATATTAAAGTTCCCTAAAGTGCATGCATTTACTTGAATCCTAGTAAGAACCGAGTATATATTATACATTTATATACTTGTACTATGTATATCTTTACATTTTTCATTTGTAAATATTGTATCCACGTAATTATTGACCCCGATCGTAGAAATCTTTCTTATCTGACGGATCGACTCGCTTCTCGCTTCGTATCAAGTCGTCTCGATACGATTCACATTCCGTCCACGGACGACAAGGATGATGCGCCAAGTCGCGAAGCGGGTCGGGCCGGAACTTTCGAACGCAGTTATTACGCAGATTTTAATTGAAAGGCTAGAGTAACGAGTTGCATAAGCGCCGGTCATTTTCATTTCTCGAAAAGTTCGAAAAGTCAGCCACGTCGTGTGCGTTCCGCATGGAAGAGCAGGGATTCGCAGAGGGGAAATTCGTTTGAACGATCGCGATTTTACGGTGACGCGAATGGGGGAAGAGCGGAAGAATATCAAGTCAAGAATCGAGTCGGTACAATCTCGTCTTCTTCTTTTGGAACGACTAACGCGGTGGCTGACTTGCATTCTCAGCCATTCTCTCTATCATAGCCTCTAAAATAATTAGTCTTAGGCTTATTTATAGGCTGCTAACTATATATAATACATATAATATACATATACAATTCCCGGGTTGCCGTACGTGAACGCGTTTATGCGATTCACGTTCGGCGATCCGCAAAATGAATACGCCCGTCGCCCGCTGCCAGCCGATTCGCGCGATAACAAAGCGGGCAGTGTTAATCGTGTGATCGGGCCGCTTCATCGTGCCCGATTCTCATGCCTTGCACTAATGCAACGGTGGCTGATGCATAAGTCATACGTTTCCGATCGCCTGACGCGGGGGGGCAATCAAGCGGAACAGAATGCGATTTGTTACACGGACATCAGGAGAGAACATTGATGACCGGGGTGAAAAAAAGTTGATTTTCTGGTGAATTTCGGTATTTTTTTATATTGACGAGTAACGCAACCGCCGCGCACTAACTAATCCTGTCGTGATTGAAAACGGAATAGCGAATAAATTCGGGCGGTTTAATTATAAAAGCGGCGGATGAAATAACAGCGTTTCGATTTGGAGGTTGAACCAGATTCTCCCTTCCCTCCTTCGCGGTACGTTACACGCTCCGATTATTTTCGATCGGTTCGTGGATTATTCGTCGTTCAACTGGGCGTAAATTAGATATTCGTCACCAACTGTCGACGACTAGCGGGCTGGATCGAATTAACAATCAAATATGATTAGGATCGTGATCCATATCCGGAATGAAATTCCGAGCTAAGTGGCGCAGCTCATAATGAGAAGTATTTTTTTATTTGCAAAAGATTAGATTAGGCGTAATCGAGAACTGCGTTTGATCTGGTGCAATAATCCTTCCCAAACTCATATCATCACGTTGATTGGACACAAGCGGGAATGCTTATACCATATGACATCGTTTTTGAATAATAACTTTAAATAATGAAAATAGGAAGGCGTAAAGAGGTACAGAATGGTTTCTTTTACCACAAACAGATAATAAAACTATGTTAAAGAGATAAAAAAAATATATAAAAGTTATTAAGATTATTTAATATTTAAACAGAGGAAGAGTAACTTTTATAATGATTGCGCATTTCAAATAAAAGCATTATTGAACAAAAATTAGAATAACGATTCGAATATAAATAAAATTAGTTTCAAGCAGTCTACTAATTTGGTAGTAAAATAGATGTGAAGCGGTGAATCAAACGATTCGTTTAACCTTGATGTAAAGAGGAAGAGGAGAAAAAGCAAAACGTGCCGTGGAGACACGGCAAACGACAGAGAGAGATAATATGTGGACCGAGTTGAAAGGTACGCGATGGGAAAAGTGAAAGACAGCAAGTGGAAAGAGGAGGAAGTGGTCAGCCGGACAGGCCGAATCCACCTCCGACCGCAACTAACAACTAGCCAAGTTAGCTAGCCCGGGGTCGGGGACGAGAGAAATTTCTCGCCGGGAACTGCCGGCGCTCTGGTAAAGTGTGCGGGATCACTTCAATTAATTAAAGTCTCGTCTCGGGGAAACTTTACCTTTGTGGGTACCATGGGAGCGTACAATGACTCGGTACGACTTTCCGGCGACCGACGCGAAAACTAGAAATTAATTTTTCAAGAACGCACGCGCTTGTTAAGATCCTCCCCCCCTCTCCCTTTTTTTCCTACGTAATGATTTAGGCTGCAAAAATACGAGATAAATACGGAAAAATACTTCGAATTTCTGTTGCGCGGATGCGAATAGGTGGCTGCAAAGTATAAGTGGTGGCTCGTTAACGGGAAGCGACACTAGAGATCGATAGGAACACTGATGACTCGACGAGTTAAGCTTGGATTTCGACGGGTCTCTCCAGTGATCATTTTCAATTTGCTGCTCGTCCCTCCGCGAGTACCGAGATCAATTCGTAATGGGCGTTTATTGTTTCATCGACGGTTCGCCATAACGTGCTGTACAGTCGTGTCCCGATGCGATCGTATTTATTCGCAATCATTCGTACCGCGTTTTGTACGTGTGTAAGTGTGCGTTCACAGGAGGAGATATGTATAATATACGCATTGGACTATTGCTATATTTTCAGAAGATGAAGAGAATGCGCGCACACACATTCAGAAAATAATTAATGTAATATCGATTGCCTACATAATCATATGTAACCAATTTTTGCAAGTTATAAGATTGATAATGTAAATGTCAGAGTAACATCGGATAATCCTCGGCTGGTACGATATAATTCTAAGCAGAGTAAAAGTTTTTACTAAGCAGTAAAAATTTTTTACGTATTTTCTCTGCCGTGCAGAATGTACGCATGCAAAATGTTGACCATGGGATTTTTCATCATGGCAGACCGGCAAATATTTCCCCAACCTCATTCGAAGCGACCAAGACACATAAATCATCGGCAGAAATTACACCGTCGATTCTCTGATAAGTACGTCGTGGGCCGCTAAATCATTTAACTTATGTGCTCCCATTATCGACTAGAAAAATTTATAGGAGCGAAGGGTACGGTTTATCAGGACAGCTGCGCGAAATCTACCTGTGACGTCTCGTGGTCACCGATAGCTGCACATTCCCCGCATATTCCAAAAACAATCGCGCCTCATACAATCGACGAAATAACCCGCAGCGCGTTCGTCGACGTTTGATTTACCGCGTTCACTGATCGTGCATCGACTTTACGTTTGAAGCTCACGCTCGCTGTCGCGTCTACCAAATCGGTACCGTCGTCACGTTTCTCCATTGTTAAGCGCAAAATGTGTACACACACTCCGACCTCGCTGTTCTTAATCCCATGGACGACCCAGTTTCTGAACGCAAATAGGCAACGTTGTGCTTTTTTAATTCATTTCTTGTAAAAATTACGTCGTATAAAAGTACCGCTGATGTTTACTTGTTTTTACGTAATCAAAGCATTTCGCGAGGTATTTTAATTATGGAATGAAACATTCATATCTTACAACGTAAAACAATTTTATCTCATTTTATTCTCTAATATGAAAAGAGAGTACCTTTAACAGAGAGACTCTTTTGCCCATTGCCCCGGAACATTAACGTTACTTTTAAAATTCTTACGCCACTTTGGCCACTTCACCGATTGCGAAAGGGATAAAGATTCTTTGCCATCGTGGATACGTGAACAAGGAGCAGGACAATCTCACAGCGACGTACGCACACTTGTATACGGGAACGAGTCCTGTGGGCGTTGGGGGGAATTTTGAAGATGTCGGTTTCGACCCTGTTAG